ATATATAAAAAATATAATTTGTGTTATATATATATATATATATATATATATATATATTGGTTAAGATAGGAAAGATTACAAAGATGGTCTCAATGAGGATTGAACTTAGTCTTTATGCTTCTAACTACACCAACCCCTCCCCACTCAATCACTAGGCTAACCCTAGTGATTCATATATATATAATTACGAATGTGTTAATTAAATATAAATTATTTATTATCTCATTATTGTTTTACTTCTCAATTCACTATATTTTTAATACAAAATATTAATCAAATTTGCTGAAAACTAATCTTTACTAAAAATAATTAGGTTATTTTTTTGTAAAATTTATATTTTAATAATAGTTTTTTTATTTAAATATTATACTTAAATTCTCGAGATTTTACTTAAAAGGTGCTACTTAAGTAAAACTCAAGGAATCACATGTTTTGATAAATTTTTTCATTATTGATTAGACTTACTTATGTTACTCTTAATTAGGAACTTAAATTCTTTTAAGACTTGTAAATTATGTTGTATACAGTTTGTGGGGAGGGAACCGAGAGAAAAATAAAATAGCATGGGTGGGTTGGGAGGAGGTTTGTAGGGACAAGAAATTTGGGGGTTTGGGAGTTCGGGATTAGGGATGGCAACGGAGCGAGGCGGGTACGGGTTTTATGATACCCGTCCCCGTCCCCGCAAGTCAACCAAGGCAGGAAACTCTACTATGGACATGGGGACTATAACCCTCTTCAGCTCGTGCCTCAATCCCTCCGCAAACTTTCTACATCTCCAAGCCTCAGATATGGCCTGAGAGTAGAAACGAGCTAGATGCTCAAACCTCATAGCATACTCAGAAACAGACAAGCTCCCCTGATGTAATCTCATGAACTCTGCCTCCTTAGTTGAATTCAAAACTTGGCGCCACATGTGAGGCTTTCACATTGGCGCCAAGTGTGAGCCAATTCCGGATGCTTTATATTTTCCCTCCTTCCCACTTTGTACATACTTTGATGCTTATTGAAATTTGAGAGCCATTGAGCCGAGTTTCCCTATCAAAGTCTTCTATCTTCTCACCTCAAAAACCCTAGGAGAGTTTCCTTCTTTCCTTCTCTTTGAAGTGAGTAGTCCATTGCTTCTTGAGCTTGGATACTTCCCTCCATAGCTTAGGAAACCTAATTCCAAGATTCTCTTGTCTTCAAGTGTTCATAGCTGCGGATTCAAGTCTCCTTTGAAGAGGTCCTAGCATTGGTGAATTCAAGGAGGAGATCATCATCCACTTCTCCTAGTATTTGCTATCAAACCACCAGCATCAGACATCCACCCCTTGTGGTAGATGTTGCTTGTCTTCTTGCACCCAATGGCTTGTGCGATGGT